GTGGCCTAACAAAGGATACGGAAGGAAATTTCCCCGTCAACAGAGGTGGAACGATAACCCGAGGTTTCAGAGATTTTGGCCCCACCAAAAGTTTGGTCGCGGATTTCGAGGTAACATGAGGAACGGGCCTCACATTTTAGAGGCGGGGAATGTGAGGAGTGATCTCAGAGGGGGCTTGCGCCCTCCAGATAGTGTTAGTAATAATGGTGGTTTTTGTTCAAATTTTCATAAGCCGCACAATTAGTGGTGCCATCATTTGATTTGATTTTGGGGGTGAAGGTGAGAGAGAAGCAGCGGATAGGCGCTTCTGTATGTATTTTTATTCTTTCACAGGCTAATATCTATTGAATGAAGTTTCTTTTACATCCAGTTTTTTTTTTTTTTTTTTTTTTTTTAATATCAATCATTTGAAATGTTACCCTGTAATTTGTAAGCGAAGTTTTCGTTGAGATTCACTCCCAGTGGCAGTGCTGCCTACCATAGCTATCTGATTCTTCAGTCTGTAGACTGCTCCAATGACAAACAACTCTTGGGCATTTCTTTTTTTTACTTTTTTGATACCCAAGTTTTATTTTTGACATCTGCTTCGAAGTTTACACCTTTTTAAATTTGATGATACCCAAAGTTTTGTTTTTGACACTGTGGTCCCCTAAACTTTAGGATATTTGTGTGAACTTTGAGTTACCAAGGTTAAAAAATGTGGAACGTCTGGGGTATGAAATTGAAGAAGTGTAAAGTTTGGGGTATTGATGTTTCAAAAGAATTTTAGAGTTTCAAAGTCTAAATATCTATTATAAGGTTAAAGAGTGCCAAATTGTAGATAACCCTTCAAAATACAAAAGGGATAATTGCTATTTGTTTCTTAAATCAGTCTTAATTGCCAATAAGTCCCTCAAACTCAGCATTTGCTCCTTAAGACTCTCAAATCCTCATTTTTATTACAAATTCGTCCCTGTTGTTATTATGAGTGTGAAATTTTGTTAGCTCAAACAGAAATTGATGGTTTTCTTGTTATACTCCTACCAATATTTGACATTATAATTTAAAAGCTTACCAACCCATTTCGTAAAAGGTTTATACCCACAGTCCATAAGACAAATCCTCCATTTCATAAAGCGGGAGAATTTGTGGAAGAAATGAACTTTGGGTTACTTGAGAGTTCAAGGTATACATAAGGGCAATTAGGTGATTCTAGATGTCTGGTTAAGGTATAATCCACCTAGAGTTAGGGAAACTCACATGAATTTTATCAGAGGGGCGCAATATTCGAAAGAAAAATGATGATTTGATGTACTAATTAGCAAATACTAAGATTTAAAGGACTACGAGCCAGATCGGTATTGTTAAAGAAGCAACCAATAATGATGTTTGGCAAAAAAAAGAAAATTTGGTATGCTTATTAAAACTGCTTCTGCTGTTACGACAGTGTTTTTAGAAGCAACCCGAGAACGCTTGGCTTCTGCGTTTTTTTAGTTTATATAATATTTATACCTTTTTATCTTTTAACAAAAATTGTAATTAAGTATAGTTCAAACAAACACCTTAACCGCTTTTTAAGAAATTTTTGATACTTAATTACCACGTAGACTAGTGCTAGCACTTTTGACAGTAGGTAGCGCTCGAGTTGCTCTCCCCAATCAAGCCTTTCAAGAGGTTCCTCTACAAAGTTATGGCGATCGGGACGTACGGGAGCAGAATACAAACCGGATTCTCATCGTTGCCGGAGCAAGCTGCCATGCTAGCAAGCGTATCGAGGCTCCTCAGCAGGGACGCCATTTTATATTATCCTCCAGCAAAGGACATATACAGGCGTTGCTAGTTCCAGGGGTGCAGCGAGCGCCAATTACCAGCAAGCACATAGTCAAGCCTGAGATGCAGAAGAGGAGCCAGTTTGAACCGGTCTCAGGGCTTTCGGCAAGGAGGGAGACCAGCATTGGCAAGTAGGGGTGTTATTGGAGCGGATACGACTCGGATATGACACTTACTATATTCATATCCGCTTACCCATCTCCGAAACGGATACGGGTACGGATATATGTTGGTAAGAAAAATTTATATTCATATCCCCGCTAAAATCGGATACGGTTACGGATATAGATGTGGATAAATAAACGGATATGTATCCGAATACAAAAAGGATATGAGAAAACTAGATAGTATTTAGAAAAATAGTCATGTGCTACAAAAGAGTTCGTTAATATGTTCATTATGATTGAAAAACTAAGATTAGACATCTTGATCATCAAAATTAAATACAAATCCATAATCTAAGAATCGAAACCATCGTAAGAGTATGACCAATATGTATTCGGATATTTCGGATACAGATACGGACATTTCGCTACAAAACCATATCCGTAACCATATCCTATCAGTTATAGATTTGAGTAACCATATCCATATCCTAACGGATACGGTTATCCTAACGGATACGGTTACGGATATTTCCTCGGATATGAATACGGTTTAGCACCCCTAATGGCAAGGCTGTGTACTAGGGGTGCTAAACCGTATCCGTATGCAAGAAAATATGGTTGCTCAAATCTATAACCGATAGGATATGGTTATTGATATCCGTAACCGTATCCGTTAGGATGTGAATATGGTTACTCAAATCTATAACCGATAGGATATGGTTATTGATATGGTTTTGTAATGAAATATCTGTATCCATATCCAAAATATCCTAATACATATTAGTCATACTCTTACGATAGTTTCGATTCTTAAATTATGGATTTGTGGTTAATTTTGATGATCAGGATGTCTAATCTTAGCTTTTTAGTTATAATGAACTTATTAATGACCTCTTTTGTACCACATGAACTATATTTTTCTCAATACTATCTAGTTTTCTCATATCCGTTTTGTATCCGCATACATATCCGTTTATATATCTCCATCTATATCCGTAACCATATCCGATTTTAGCGGATATGGATATGAATTTTTCTTACCGAGGTATATCCGTACCCGTATCCGAGATGGGTAAGCGGATATGGATATGGTAAGCATCATATCCGAGCAGTATCCGGACCGAATACTAACTGGGGGAAGCAGCAGTTGTGTTTTAGTGGGTAGTAATGGGGTTTCCGACCCGGTGGCGGCTGCACTCAAAACTGCAAAGTTAATTATACACAGGAGAAGTTTGAGTCATGGACGTAGAGGAGAAGATGTGAACAGCAGATAGCAGCGGTAAAAAGCGAGGAAGTAGAGGAGAAGCGGTGGCCGGGCGTATTTCCTCCCCAGCCTTCATTGCGACGATAGTGGTTGCTGCAACCCTGATGAAATACTTCTAGACACTTCTTTGAATACTAGGCGAATGCAGCTGCATAATCACAGGAGGGGGGGGGGGGGATTTTCTCCGGACTGCCTCCATACCTCTTTCAAAAATGAAGCAAATGCTAGACAAAGCTGTAATAGTTACTGGCATATTATATGGACAGGCTATCAGATACAAATATCAAGTTGTACAATAAAAAAATTCAAACATGGAGATTAAAAGTATGCGATCTCCATAGCAAAATAATGTAAATTCCAAACTATCATCCAACACAAGGATTAGATAGCGATCCGTTGATAACTGTTTTGTGTTTTTTTTACCCTACTACAGGTGGAGGTGGTGGCGCGACAGGAGGGACCAGCTTTACTAGCTACCATTCTTGTGTAATGTTAGAAGAGCAGATTAAAATTTCCATGGCATGGTTCTGTGTATGAGCGCAGAAGTGTGATTAGAATTATGTTCTTCTTGCAAGCAAAGATTGTGATTTGAATATTATATAATTGAATACATTACGTTTACAAGTTGCCAGTTTCATATTTATGTCTTCCGGCATGAGGGTATACAATCACTTGCACAGTTGCACTCGGCACCAGTTCATTTCAGCACAAGAAAGTGCAAACAGAAACACAGAAGCAAAATTCCAGGTAAATTAATTGATGCTCCAATAAAGTGGAGAAAAGGAGTGCATGGATATTTTGCTGATATTCTATCGGTATGTCATCAACTCGTGTTAAAGTTTAAGAATATTAAGCATTAGAACATTAGAACAATGTTCATTCTCGCTTAGATAAAAAGATAAAATTTCTTATCAAATATATCCGCTTTTTTTTCCTATTAGGAAAGTGTTATATGGCATCGTTGCTCTTAAATTTAATTTCTTTTATCCCTCTCATTAACTTTTATTAACGTTTTACGCTTCTGAATTATTAAGAGAAGCCCTCCTTCAAAGCTTACTCTCTAATTACCCCTACCTAAAAGGTAATCAACTCTCTATGGTAGCCCTTCTAATAATTCAAAAGGTATGTCCTTAATTTATACGGATGCCTAGAAAAAAATTAAGAAGATTTTCTGGTACTACGTTTTGATGCTAAATCTTCGTTAGTTTAGAATTGTTGACCATTTATTCCCAATTATTTAAATGATCAACAAAAATTATTTAAAAAATTGTTTTGTGATCATCTAATATCTTGTACTAGAACTTCACACCCAAAAAACTTTCTCTATTTCTCAATATAAACAAAAAAAAAATTCTAAATATTTTTATTGACATGTATTTCATCATAATTCTTATTGTAAATTACCCAAATCATTTCTTTCTCAATTATCTAAATGAAAAGATTTCAATTTTAAAAATTTTCTCATGAAGGTTTATCTAAATAAATGAAAATTACTCAATCCCTTCTCCTCAGTTTATCTAAATAAATAAAAATATTATCTTAGGAAAATTTGCTAATAAAAACTTCATACGATCTTTTTTGGCTTGTAAAACTATGATATCTTGACTAGGTTTGAAGGAGAGGAAATCACATGAAAAAATATGTCCTAATAATACAGATTGATAAAAGGTCATAGAGCTAACAAACGAGCTTCGAGGAAAACATTAAGACAAGTTAGGGAAGGGTTCAAAAATAAACCTCAATGTGGAGCAAAGAAACAATCTTCTCTTAAAATATTTTACAGGAGCAATAATAAATTAAAAAATTGACACATGATCAACTTCGATGTTAATCACAATGATGAATTGTGTCTCCAACATTACACATTACACATTATACATTCTGGGCAACTTATGTTTTTATTACCTCCACAAGTCAGTAGTCGAGCAAAGCACATCCTTATTGCTTAAGGTTTGCTACGTGCAAATTATCTATTGCATTTTTGTAGACAACTATCAGAAGCAAATCAGATGATTATCCGACGAAAAGGTAGAGCAGTGTCTTGCACTATCACATCATAAGTTGATTGAAAAATCTCAACTTCTAAAAGCGCCAAATGACCAAAATGCATGAATAAACATTAGAAACAAATTAAGCACAAACAGAACTCCCTCTTTATCTCCTAAAACTTAAGCAGTCTAATCTGTTCCGTATCAGACAGGAAGCAAAATTAGAATCACTAAGCTTACAAGAAACGGCCATGCTGAACATCAAAACTCATCCAAATAGGCTCTTCCAAGGGTCCCCATTCTCAGTGAAAATACTGCATGAACGAAACAAATAAAAGAATAAGCAACAGGACAGAGTGTAGCGGGGGAAAAGATGTTGCACAAAATTAAAACTAAATTTCAAAGAAGAGAGTTTGTACGTTTAGCCTGGTGTCACAAAGTCACATGATTCCCCAAAAAAAAAATAATAATAATAATAATATTTATCTCCTATGAAAAGCTAAATAATAAATAGGTAACATTAGAGTAGAATATATCAAATAGCATGATTCAAAGTTCTGAAAACTAATCTTCCACGCAATTTAGAAAAGTGAGAATAGATGAACAGTGGGAATTATACATAAAACTAGCCAGAAGTTTTTATTCGCACTATTTTGGAAAATAGCATAAGCAGGCACCTAGGGTCCAAGGCCTTATGGGGGCCAGAGAGTAGCCAAGGCTCCCTTATTGATTTGCGAACAAGAATAAGGATATATAAGATCTGGCGTGATTTAGCAATTGATATATTATTTGAATTAACAGTCATATCCAGATCTGGGTATCAAAATTTAGGCAACTTACAATCGTTGAAATTTCATTATGCCAACTTAGCAGTACAATATCGAAGAAAACAACCTAACAAATTTCCTAAATCAAGGGAAATTAATGTTCATGGCAACTAAATTTAAGCAGATGTAGTTAAATACTATTGGGAAACTCTGTCAGTTCTTTCTTCTTGCAGAGGGACATAAAATTGCATTCGTGTGCGTATGTGGGTTTTCATTCTCGGTTGGGTGTGGGAGGGGGTTAGGGGATGGATGAAGGGATGCATCTCAATGGAGAACCGACCCATTTTTCCCTTTTCTGTGGCAACTTAATGACCTATGGTGGTAAGACAGCTTGGTTAAAACAGTATGAATTTATGAATGCTGTGTCTAGGGACAAGCCAAGACCCCTCATAATGGACATTTGGGCAAGCATTTACACTTAGTGGAGTATAACCAATAATAGTATGAGATTGAAATATGAGGAACTTTCTTACTACATCGAGCAAGGATCTTTCTTCCCTACATTAAGGCTCACTGTATACTTTATAAATTAGCACTAGAATGTAATGTTTACCTCTTCAAAGCTCTTCTGTCATTCTCAAGCCATAGCAGCCTTTTTCTCTTCTTCGAGCTTCTGCAGTTCTTTTAATCGTTCAGCCCAAGCTTTTTCCCTTGCCACCGCAGCCATCTTCCGCTCTATCCTTTCCATAGCTTTCTTCTTTTTAGACTCTGCAAATTGAGCTTTACGTTTTTTCTTCTCGGACTGTCATGCACAAATATCACCCAGACTGTGATTACTAAGAAAATAATTATGTGGCTTCTTATTCAAAATTAGCTATCATAAAATAGCACTAGAAAAGTTTGTTAAATTACCAAAATGAAGAACAAACAAGTTAAGTTGAATGGGCAAGAGAGGAAACCAAATATCAGGGGAAATGTACATATAGAGTTATCAAAGATGCATGCCTCATGCCCCCATGCAATGCAGGACAGTAGCGTAGTGCCCTGCATCTAATGTAGCGGTGCCTTTTGCACCCTGCAAGCACATGCATGCAAAGCATAGCCTTATACATTTTTGTACTTTAACATTTCAAACGAGTCTTTAATATTTATATCCGATAACCCACATCCCAAGAGGTAAAATGTGCCCATTAGACCCTTTTATTAGTAGCCAAATTGAGGACCCTAACTAATTCTCAATTACTATTTGATTTTGCCTCGATATTAGTCTTGATTTGATTTTTGATTTGGAAAATTATGATAGCTACTATGTTGAGTGTGTTAGCATTAGAGTTAAGACCTAATTTGTGATTTGGTAGTACATATTATATATCTTAATATATTTTTATGTGAAATTTCATAAGAATGTTCTTTCGTGTTTGATTATCCATCTTAAAAAATATGCGTCCGTGTGCGCCTCGCTTCACTCGGGCGAGTGCATCGCGTTGCGCCTTGCACATGTGTGTGTAAAGTCAGGCTCCGCATCACGCGCTGCGCATTGATAACACTGTAGATGTACTTCAAAAGGATGATAACTGCAGAATCCAAGCACTATAAAAACAAGTAGTAGTCCCAAAAGTTTATGGGGTGACTAAAAAAAGAACAGTAATTAAGGAACCACACAACACCAGAAGACAAATGAACATGAGATTGAAAACCTAAATAAAGTTAGCATCAACTCAGCTGAAGGAGGCAGTGTACGTCATCATTAGAATATGTCACTCATGGCTCTTCAAGCAGCAGATTTTATAATTTACCAACAGTAGACTAGCCTCCTATTAACCGCGAGAAGAAAGATAAACGTATATAACAATACTAGGAAGTAGATCGCAAATTACGTTAACATAGAGAAGAAAAACACGAAACAAGAATGGAGGTCCATCTCTAAGGAAAATAGTAGAAATAATCAACAAAACAACAAGATCACGATTCAGCTCTAGTAAGATTCATCTCTTCTGTAACATCAGTAATATCATGTCGACACAACGAACAAAAAAGATGGAAAATACAATTGCCAAGGCAATCATCAGCTAACAGAATGAGCAAAGCTATACCAATATGAATGCCTTCCGCTGAGCAATGCGCTTCTTCTCCTTCCTTCCTTTGACACTTCCTTTGTTGGGGCGACTTCTCGGTATCGGTTCCCCAGGCACATACTGCACCCAAGCATAAGGTCCTGCAGTTTCCCACCACAATGTCAATAGCTTAACTCCAAAGGAAATATGTCACTTGAAGCGCAAAGACTTCATGTATACGCAAAGGAGAGAAGAGGGTCATCGAGGTACTTGTATAAAGTATTTAGTTATGTCATTAATGAGGTTTAAACCCACGATTTTAAAAGAACGTTGTAATAAAGATGCTATGGCGAATCGCGTACCAACTGGTCTCGATGCTTAAATTTAACCGCGTCCCAGTTTCTCTAGTCCCAGGCAACAACTTGTAGTTTCACAATGATAAATATTAAATAAGTTTCTACCCTACATTATTCAAGGATGCGTACAATTAAAAACTAGGGCTACGAATTCCTCGCAGGCTAATCCCACTAATAACATTACACAAGTTCAGTTAAGTACTGCCATAAGGTTGTTTATGTGTACATTTTCTCACTTGTATATTCTCCACCCTTTTTTTCCGAAAATAAAAGCACGGCTGTCAGTTCGACCGCAAGCAATTTCGAAGCTAAAGACTCGATCTTTTCCGTAATGGGTCGTCAGAATGCGAACCTGGGGGTTTGAGGCTGGCCCTCTTCCGTCGAGGTGCAGTCCCGGGCCGTCTCTTCGGCAACCGGGTATCAGTGAGGCTGCCGAGGATCAAGCTGCTGGTTGAGGTCGAGTAATTTCTCTCCGGCGACGAGATCAACTGCCGGTTGGAGAAGAAAGGGGGTTGGATCCTACCGCCTCCAAAATTTGCAGGCGAGAATTTGGGGGCGAGTTGGTGAGAACGAGAAAGAGGAAGAAGTTGACGAGAGGATGGAGATAAGGGGCGTATGATGCTGCGTAAAGCTCCGCCGAGGCCCATTTTTTTTTCCTTCAAAAATTGAATCTGAGATCAAGATCAAAACCCTAGAGCGCGAAATTGCAGAGGGAGGGGGGATGGGGTTTTGGGGAGAGAGAGAGAGAGGGGGAGGAAATGGGGTTTGAGCAGCTAACGGGTCGGGTCGGGTCGGGTCAGGAGGCATAATGTACGAAGAAGAGTACTATGTTGCTCCTGTGAAAGATGAATACAAGTTTGAGAAAAAAGAAATTTTCTGCCTGAAACATCATAAAAAATGAAACGTTCGTATCCAATAACACACGAATACAGTTTGAATTTGGGTCCTCTATGTTTCTTATTTGACAGCTAGAATCACTCTTCAAATCATAATCATTTATATATATACTAGTTCTTATACACGTGCAATCCACGTGGTTGAATTTCATTATTATTTAAATTGATAAAAATAGAATAAAAATAAAAAAAATAAAGTCTTTTTGGGATTGATCATCAACTCAATAATCTCTCTCTCAAATGAAATATTGTCATTGTTTTCTTTAACCCAGGCTGTAACCACGTGATCTACTATTTGTGAGTTATAAACACATTGATCAAGTACAACATCTCTATTTATTAGTATCTTGAAATCTTCAAAAGCTGAGTAATCATTTAATTTTCGAATGAATTTTGCATATGAATTTACTTACAATATGTCCATTAAACTTTTACTTGTGGTTTGATTCATATTCACATTAACTTTTAGTTATGGTTTGATTCATAGTTGAGCACACGTCCTGAATAAATATATGTATATCATACTCCCTTTAAAAATGGGAGTTATGGAAAAAAAATTCAAGGACTATATTACCCCTATTCTTTTTTGATATTACCTTCTAATACTAACTAGACTAAATTAATTATCATTGTTTGTTAATTATATTATATGTCACTTTATGTTTGTATAATTTGGTCCCTAAAACTTCTAATGTGATTGTAAAACTCTACACCATATTAATTATTAGTAATGTAGAATATTATATTAATAGATAATTCGTTGTTAATAAAGTATTTATGGAAATAGGAAAAGAGGGAGTTTTGTGGAATTTTTTTTCAATGACTATATTACCCTTGTTCTTTTTTTATATTACCTTCCAATACTAACTAAACTAAATTAATTATCATTGTTTAATTATATTATATGTTCTTTTTTTATATTACCTTCCAATACTAACTAAACTAAATTAATTATCATTGTTTAATTATATTATATGTCACTTTAAGTTTGTATAATTTGTACTAACTAAACTAAATTAATTATCATTGTTTAATTATATTATATGTCACTTTAAGTTTGTATAATTTGGTCCCTAAAACTTCCAACATTACTGTAAAACTCTACATCATATTAATTATTAATAATGTAATAAAATATTAATAGATAATTTTTTGTTAATAAAGTATTTATGAAAATAGTAGGAAACATAGAATTGTTCTGAAATTATACCATGACACTGTAGAGAATTACAAAGAGCATCCTAATGTTTAGGTACAGAACTGAAGATACAAGCATAAAATTTTAGAAAATATTAAGATATTTAAGTGTGCTAAGATACATTATCTAAAATTAAAAAAAAGTGGAGGCATATATATAATATAATTTTGGTCAACTATAAGGTATTTAAGTTCGTTAAGGTTATAAAATATTTGAAACCTTTGTTATCCACAAACAATAGCATATGATCTCATTGATAAATAATATTCATCATACAATATGAAGCCAGATGCGCAGCTTATATTTGTATTGTATAGAGAAGATGTGGAAAAATTAAAACATCGTATTTTGAATGAGTCTCAAGATTTTGAATTGTTTCCTGAAAGTATATATTTCACTTAGAAAACTTTAGAAGAGGCTTTCGAATGACTACTACAGGGTGTTGGATATCAAATAAATATTGAACAAATAAAATATAAGATATCGGATTAGGAAATAGGGAGATGTATATAATACTGGGTGTCATATGAGATAATATTCATACATAACATTACATTATAATATGTAATCTAACATATTAATGAATTTTAAATATAAGAATTTGCATCAAGATATATGCTTAAGGTTTGGGATAGCTGAAAGTGGAGAAATTTAGGAGAAGAATTGTAGCCTTTATGGGTTTTGTGAGTTCCAATTTTGTTTCCCAAACACAATCCAAAACCGAGCCCAAAATCAAATTAAAAGTGACACAATTTTCTTGATATTTTCAGAGGAATATATCGGCTATATTTTCGATACTGGTTGATATATCAAAAAATCACCAAACAAAAGCAAACAACATAAAATATTATCAAGATATATAAAGTCTTTAACCCAATATATTAGCCGATAAGGCAATATATCGATCGATATTTAATGCAATGCCTATAAGAACAAATATGTAAATGTTATTTAGATATTAGTTCCTTGATTCTAACTACCAAAAAATTCTATGTTATGCCCTCACATATTTGAAAATGCTCATAATTTTTAGGGACTAATATTAAATTATTAAAATTTTGATGGACAAATTATGAATAAGCCATGTTTAAAAAAGAGTTTATTTTTAAAAACCCTCTCAACTATGGGGATTGTCTTAAAAACCCACCCAACCGATTCAATTTGACAAAAGCCCCTTCTTATGGGGGGTATTATAGATAACCTTTCTCAATTTTGGTGCAATTTTAAAAAAAAAACCTCTTAACTATAATGTGTCTCATAAAAACTCCCCTAATCTTTTGTACCGAACCTGAAACATTGACCATTGCAAAGCACAAGTTGGGTTGATTTTCGTAATAAAGTTTGAAGTGGGTCAAAATTTGGGAATAAAATTTGAAATAGGTTTATTTTGAAAATTACTTCTAATTCTAACAGGTTTCTCACCCATCTACCTCGCTCTATTGAGGAAGTGCGTAACTTCCAGTTATCGCTTCCTCCCAGACGTCCATAAAAAAGCACCTCAAAGCTCTAATACCTACACTTTTTGTGACATCCTCACACTTTAGTTTTACATAGACTAGTGTGAAGAAATAACTAGTGCTAGCACTTTGATAGTGGATTTAGCCAATGCTCGAGTTGCTCTTCGTGGACCCAGACTTGTACGGACCAATAGGGCCCACGGGCCTGCGGCGTGACACTTTCGCTAAAATCTACTCCCGAAGTTAGAGCTCACCTTTGTGATACCATCATCCATCATGTCATATAGTGACTTCCCTAAACATTGGCCTAATATCATAGAAATTATTCGACAGGCCCTACATTCCGATATCTTTCACCCAGAGGCCCGAATGAATGTGGTTATCTAAGAAGCTCAATCTTTGTTCACTATGCAAACCATGTAAATGAGTAACTGTTGTATTCATATCCTTAGGCTAGCCTTAATATTCTACATTATGCGTCTAATAAAGGTATGTGAAGCATTGCTTCCGTACAATGTTACTATCGCGGTTACCACCTGTTATTTCTTCTTCTTAGCTTCGACATTGTACCTTCAGTTCACATTCTTGTTGCAGGTCATGGACTCGAGATGTGCGAGCACGATCCAGTTCACTGACCGCACTCTGAGATTGAAGAACCTGAATGAAATTTGAAGTAAGCCTGCATACTACTTTCAGAGAGAACAGTTACACAACTTCAAAGACCACAAGAAAGCTCACTCAAACGTAAAACTGTAGCCTTACAATAAGCCTTGAATGTAACTACATAACCACTCGTGAATTCGCTCTATATTGGATAACCCTTTGGCTAAGAACAATCAGAGGAATAGTGGATACAATCCCGAAAAGACAATCTCGGGTAACCATTGGTCGCAAAGAGGCGAGGAGGGTACAAGAAAACACCTCTCATCCAAAACCTCTAACATGAAAGAAATAAACAACAGTAATCACCATAGTATAATGTTTTTGAATCCATCAATCGAAGCTTGATGTTCGACTCCATCTCCCTTTAAGGTAATCCTCAAGAGATGTATTTGCTGTTACAAAATCACTGTTGACCGATAGTGTGTCATCTTCTACATCGAGGAGGGCAAGATTGATATGAGACTGGATGTTAGAATTTTGATTTGCTGCTGTTTCATCCAATGCAATAGAGTCTTCTGTAGAATTATTGACTTGTGCCCTTGCCCACTTAAGGACATCGGCATCTCCTCGTAGTAGCTTCACAACCTGGAATTAGGCAATCAAGATATATAATGTTAGCCATCTACAATTTACTTCATCATAGTAGTAACAATAAAATGGGTGAATTATTTCAGTCTCACTTGTTGAACCCTTTGAAGCGTGCGTATTGCTAGACATGATAACAAGGATTACCTTGTAGGCATATTGATAAAAGAACATGCAGTGAACCATGGAGTTGAATCCACTAATTCCGGGTGTCATTAGATCACTAGTTAAGGTTATTTCTAATTATTGTTCATTGAGAACAACAACGTTTAATTTAGGGTAAATTGCACACATAAACCCCTTTGTATATACCTTCAGACGCACCAAACACCCCTCAACTCGTTTATTAGCACTTAGCCCTTTAATGAGAAAAAGGGGTGTTAATTGCAATTTTATCTGTCTTAAAATGGCAACCCATGGGTGCTAGGTACTATTTAAATGAGTTGAGGGGTGGCAAGTGCAACTGAACGAATAGATGAGGACCGAGGAGGATTATCTGCGATTTTACCCTTGATTTTATGGCTTTACTGGTAGCTGTCCCAATCAATATCATGACTCACCTAACTATGCTTCCCAACCGATTTGCACACGATGCAAATCATCAACATCTAACTTCTTGTATTAATACATTAGTCACTACCAACAAGGCTTTCTGTAATTGTTAGTAACTGAAAAAATGATTTTTATGGTTATGATACTGACAGCAGTAACATATAGGTATCGCGTTCGCGAACTGTATAAGTAGCTATATGTGGGCAAAACATATACCCCAATCCACCTATTCATTTCAGAGAGACAAACATATAAACCTATTTAAGAGTTGCAAGTATAAAAAGCTATCATAAAATAGGATAAATACGAGACAACCGATTAAGTTTTCTGTTGCCAAATCAAGTCATTTTCAGTAATGAGGTGAACCTTTCCTGAAAATTTTGCTAGCACTACTGTTGGGAGTAATATACTGAAAACCAAGCATTTTTTATGAATAAAAACAGACCAGTAATCTCTCAGAACTTCTATTTAAAGTGGCTGTAGTAAAAAAAATTTAAGCAAAAAACAACTACAACTGCGAAAATTCTTTTGACAATAGTGTCTTACAAGGGAAATACGAGGTCTGGATCGAGGATCTTGTCGAATGCAGATGGAAGCAGATAGTATCATCCTCTCCATTTCATCCTCGTCGTATTTATCACCCAAGCTTGGATCTACCAGTTGTTTCATTTTTCCATCTTGAAGAATTTTCTTTGCCTGCCAAAATTATCCTATTATTATCAATACACCCATATCTTATACTTCTCATAAATCAGAACTTGGTATGTTAATATATTCTGCTCAATATTTTTTACTTAATAGTTGCACATAGACTCCCTGTAGTATTGCTGCTTTGAACTTACTACCCCTATAGTTGCATTGTTGTATAGAACCCTTTTTTTTAACTATTTTACCCTCTCGTATGGACTCCTTAATTTCACGGAGAGGCAACTGTCAAAATTTTGCCAAGGGTAAACAACTCAAAAAAAATTAACCCAAGGGTGCTATCTGCAACAATGAAACTACAGGACTAGTAAGTTTAAAATAACAACACTACGGGTGTTCTATGTGCAATTAATTCTTGTTTATACATATATTCAGTATCATCACTAATTAGAACTTAGAAGCTATCATCTAGCTGATCTAAGTTGAAACTATGATCTAAAGTTATGAAATGGGACATACCCACAATACCAAGCTCTCTTCTCCCTTTGGACATTGTGAGTTAACGGGCTTCCTTCCGGAAAGAAGCTCGAGGAGAACAACACCAAAGGCATAGACATCAATCTTTTCATTGACTTTTCCATACATGAAGTATTCAGGAGCCAGATACCTAAAATATAAGGAATATTACTTCACAAGAACAAAATTCCCAAATAATTCAAACTATAAGGATAGGATCAAGAAAACAAACCCGAATGTTCCTGCAACATCATTGCAAGTCAGGGGTGATGAAGCTGACGATGCCCACAGAGCAAGCCCAAAATCAGCCAACTGAAGCATACCCACAAGCAAAATATGAACAAGAAAACTAATTAAAGGACATGTTTTAGACATTTTAACAATTCAGAAACCGAACCTGTGGATCAAAATCATCGGATAGAAGGATATTAGAGGACTTAACATCCCTATGGATCACAGGTTGAGCATTACCACCACTGTGTAGATAATCGAGTGCCTCTGCTACACCCATCGCTACTTTATACCTCTGAACCCATCTGAGAGCATCCACATGCTCTCTTTTGCCTAAAATTAGGTCAAACATTGCAAAGTAATGAGGATTAGATCAAATAACGAACTGCTATAATAGTTTCTTCAAGTTGACATGTACCGTGAAGGATTTCTTCCAGGCTCCCCCTCGACAAGAAATCATAGACCAATACAAGATTGTCATTCTCGAAACAAAACCCAAATAGGGAAATCATGTTCTTGTGATGCAACGCAGTGATAATTTCAATTTCAGAAACGAATTCTTTCAGTACATCTTCAGACGGCTTCAAAAGTTTCACTGCTAATTCTTTGCCATCGGATAGACAACCCTTGTAAACTATGCTACTGCCTCCTCTGCCAATCAAATTCTCTGCAGAGAATATAAGGGCAACAATTAGAGTGATAGCTGATAAATAACTGAAGTCATATAGGGAAGAATGAGATATAAAGCTACCAGAAGAGAAATTGGATGTGGCATGCTGGAGCTCCTTATAGGTGAACAATCTACAAACCGAAGAATACTTCTCTTGCAAAGATCTCAGCTCCTCTGGAAATTCCTTCTCATCATCAGAGGTTGCAAGAGAACAGCAGGATGAATCAGTTCGTCCAGTAGGAACTATAGATTGTTCTTCTCCATCAGAAGTGTGGTGATTGCTGTCAGAGTGAATAACTGAACTTGCACTATATCTGCTCGGGAGCCTCATTGCCCATTGAACAACGGACATCTTAGGCTTCTCACTAGTCTTCTTATCGGTTAAGACTGCCTTTCGAAGGAGAGGCCAACCGGGTTTTGATTCTTGTAATTCGCGAACAAGTAGAGAACGAATTGATTTTGATGGAGATCCAGGTTTATTCACAGGGACCAAGGCTAAGGAATCATCTCTCCTAGATTTTGCACAATTTTGGTCTCTTGCTTCTTCAAAATCTCTTGAATCATGGTGATCCATGCTACTAGGATAAGTCAACCGGGGCTTTGACACAACAGGCAAACAAGTGAAAGAAGCCCTAGGAGAATTGAAAATATAATCATGATTGCTTCGTTTTCGACTCAGGTTCCTGGAACAATTTCTGTTTTCTATAACAAAAATAAGATTTCATTTAATAGGTTGTAGACAATCAGCAAAAGCTAAACATAATGTATCAAACCAAATCAAACCAAACCTGTGGATTCTCTCTGGAATACAATCTTGCCATTGCTCACTGCGAGAACGGAGCAATCCTTCGGCAGTTTCTTCGAACAGTACTTCGCGATCGAGGTAGGTGAAGACCTATCATCAAATTCAATCTCATCACAAAATGAATGATTTATATCTCAACAAATTTGCAAAAAGAAGCTCCTTTCCTCACCTAATGCCTCGGCAATTCTTTTTTATCCCTAGAATGAGATTATTAGCTTCATAACTCATCGTCTCTCGAACCAAAATCTTTCTAGTCGAAGAGCCCCGACACAATTTCAGCTTCAAATCAATCTAAAATCAACAGAAAATCCCCAAATCATCACCAAATTGCCCCCAGAAAAACATCAAAATTCAGACTTCAATCATAACAGAAAAAAAATACCAAACCTGCTTCAGATTACAGAACCCATCATAAACAGCGAGAACAGAATCAAAAGCCTTAACCAGCGAAAGAAGCGAAGAACACCTCCCATCAACATCACAACCATCTGCAATCCAAAAAAAAAAAAAAAAATCAAACCATCATCAAAATCAAATCTTTTTCCACAGTCGAACAAAGAAACACAAATTTCCAGGTGGGTTTCAATCAAATTTACCTGAAGATGAAGGAATGACATGAAGAGCAACAACGCGATCACCAGCTTTAGCAACCTTGACGAGGGCCCACGTTAACAGCTCCCTGCTCTCGGCGTCCATCTTAACGCCGACCACCACTGTCTTGGGCTCCTCCTCCTCTTTAGAAATCCTCATCTTTGCCTCTGATCGCTCAAAGCTCTCTCCTTTTTCTTTTATTCTCTAACTCTGGGTTTTTTTTTATTGATGAAAAAGGGAGCGCATGAGGAGATACCAAGCTTCGAGTTTTTGGCCGGAGGCGATGGTCGCCTACAATGGGCATCCTTTGCCCTTTTTTATCTCTGCATTTGGATTGCATTTGGGGTCTCTTTTTTGTTAATTTTGATTTTTTTTAATGTTAATCAATGGTTAATAATTACAATAATGATATTATAATAATATGTTTATTTTGGCAGGAGATTTATGGGGGTGGACTCCATTTGACTTGTGATGCTGAGCATGGGCTTTGTATGGGACTGTTGTAGATGCATTTACCTTTAGATAATATTTGTTATTAATAAAAATGATTATGAGGATGTAATATTAGTTACTTTAGGAAAAAAATTAATAACTGTCTAAATATACCGGGTAGTTATGACCAGAGGGGAAAAAAAACTTTTCAGGATCGAGGAAAAGGAAATTTGTGTCGAATGTAGTGATTTATATGGTTTTATTGTTTCTAATCTTAGTTTACTGAGGTTAAATTTTGGATTGGGTACAAATAGTTGATGCAAATACAATGATGGAAATTTTAAATTGTATAATTATATTAACCTAAAGTAGTTCAGCTAGATAAAAAAAATCACTCGGTTTAGACTTTTATATTTTACAATTTAGGAGCTCAAAAAGATCGATTTGTAAGCATGTTACAAACCGTTTATTTCTAGATCATAAGAAATATAAGTTGGAATTGTTTCGATCATGTATTTCGCGTGCGTGTGTATAACTAACACGATTACACATTATTATGTGTTATAACCTTACTCGTCGTAGTAATGTTTAAAGCCAAATATTTTCTCTCGATCCATGATATGCGTGTGTTAAGACATGTATTAACGAAACAGTTTGTGAGATCTGGCTCATTCTTAAAGTAAAGAATTGATTTATGAAAAATCTCAAAATTAGACCGTGGTTCAACTTAGCAAGTCGAGATCATAATTAGTAGCCTTGTTAATCAAAAAAGTAGAAGACGTCACCTATCTTTTTAATAGCCGGCAGCCAAAATTTTAAATATCTAAGCTTCTTTTTACCCGCCATTTCTCTGTTCCTAACTCCCCACTGTGTCCTTATCTTTCTTAATTAGATTAAAGTTAGGTCCAAAAAAAAATCTCACATAATTAAGCGCCGCTCCTATGCTAAAGCCTTACTTTCCATCATAAGACGTGACATCATGACTCCCCTTTGATTGGCACCTTTTATACTTGATTGTTGCTCTTTGAATAATTGAATCTCTCATCGCTCTTTCCTGTGACGGATGGATGGTCCAACGTGTCAAGTATTTTGTGTTTACCTATCCGAAATAACTAACATTATAGGGTAGAATTTGGATCATCGGAGAGACCATCACTTTTAATCTCAATCGTTGATTATTTAATAGATGATTATGATATAATCTAAATCTAACAATTATCATACCCCCGTGTATTGCACTCATTCCTAATTTGCACTAAAAAAAATCACAACCACCAACTAGATAATCAATGGTTGTTATTATGTAGTGGTCTCTGCACTACTTTTTAGATAGTGAAGAGGATACGAATCCTATAGGGTGATATATGTAAACTCAAAAAAAAGGGTATACGTATTTGTTTCTAGTTTATATATGATTGAATTATGTGCTTATATATACTATTAGGATTACTCCACTAAGGAAATATAGAAGATCACACAAGCAGCTTTCAATCGCACAACTCAATTATAGCATTTTTTTTTCTAAGTCTCCCTCCAACTTGAACCCCTAAACCTTGGTTTACAACAATAGAATAACTTGTGCAGAGAAATCCGGCCGGTGACTCTATCTCTATCCTAACTTCCTTTGATTTGATTCCTTACGAGCTCAGTCACAATAAAATCAGACCATCTAATTAATCACAATAAAACTCTATCATAATCAAACTACATCGAAGTTTTAAAGAATCAAAGACAATTATCCTAATACTTTCATATAGATAAGATGTTAGAAGATATATATGGATTTCAAAAAAGTATAGTTGTGCTGTCTCCTTTTATTATACGCTAGAAAATTTTAGGGCTGGGCATATTCGGTTCGGTTCGGTTTTATGCCCAATCTGCATCCAATCCGAATTTTTCGGATGCTCAAAACTCTCATCCAGATCCAGATTTTTTTCCCTTCATCTGAATATTCGGCACAACCGAAATTCGGTTCGGTTTTGGTTTTGAATTTGCAAAGAGTTCTATCCAAATACTTCTATTGTGAATTTGCAAGCTGGGCATTGTCCTCATGATGAGGTTCCTGAGCTCGCCAACAAAGCTTTATTAGACTGGTTATCATCTTTAGAATAAAGTTTTGAGTTGATATAATTACGCAGAGAACTGATGTTTTAAAGATGTTGTTCATATAATACAACATGCTTATCTCTTGTAAGTATCATGTACATAACACATTTTGTGATTGATTTGAATCTTATGTAATTCTCAAGATCTTTTCTGCGAAATTTTTTAACTAAAGTTTAAGTTTATTTAATTACACGGGGGAGTGATGTTTTGCATGATATTGTTCATATAATGTAGCATATGCATCTTTTGTAAGTGCGTCATGTGCATAACAAATTTTCTGGATTGATTTGAATCTTTACTTAGTTCTCAATGATATTTTTCCGTGATATTGCTATACTCATTGCTTGAAACTGCTCCTTACGCCGTTTGAATCTATTGGATGATAACAGGAAAAGTTTTGAGGTATAAGTTTAGTCTCTAAACCGCCCAACAAAATTCGGGTCGGTTTTTTTTTGGGCGGTTCAGGGGTTCAAACCGGATCCAAACCGATTTAATTCGGTTCGGGCGGTTTAGAGACTTCTTCTCCTCCATTTAATTCGGTTCGGTTAACCGGTCCGTTTTTTCGGGCGGTTTTTTCGGTTGAACCGTTTTTTTTTTCGGTTTTTGCCCACCCCTAGAAAATTTCATATATTATTCTCTGGGAATTCACGTTACAAGAAATTGGGTATTTAATGAAATTAAATTACACAATTAAGAAGTTTTCAAGATAATTTTGTTCTCCCCTAGTAGGCAAAACAAGCTTCAAGCAAACTTCTTAGTTGGCAAGGTTCATGCATTTGAGCTCATGAGTTAACAATTAATCTAAGTTTTAAAATAAGGTAATCAATCAATAAATTTGAATTAATGATAAGTAAGCTATACACGTAAGGTTAAAAACCTGTAATCTACTGGACAATTCATGGTTGAAAAAGTCATGCTCAACTGAATTCTGATATAGCAAAAAACAATTATAGGAGTAGGAAATTTCAAGACAAGCTAAGCTTGAATGTGTTTTCTTCGAACTCACCCTTTTTTTTTCTGTAGTTCGCTTCATAAAATAACAACTTAATTATTTTTTCTTTGCAAAAACAATATTCATATTCTTAAAGTCCCTAATCATTATACCAACTGAAATTATGATAAAGATTTGTTATATTTTTTATACTCTACACATATAGCACATGCTCATGTCTGGTTTGAGATCCATAAAAACATATAAACAAATAAAACTAGGATAATAAAAAGGAAAGAAAGAAAATATAATAGAAGGTTTGTGGAACTACATTTTTTTTTGTTTCAGTTATTCAATCATGATTCGCCTGGACTAAGTTTGCAAAAATCGCATTAAAGTTTTCGTATTTACTATCTACTTCTATAAAGAGAAATTTGTTTAGAAAAATAATAAGAAAACAACTAGAAAATGGAAAATATTATACAGCTGAACAGATTAATTGAGTCAAAAATATTATATCACTGAAAAGATTAATTGAGCCAGTCATAGTTTAATTGTCAATTGAGCAAGCCTACATAATATTTGAGCTCACCAGCTAGCAATATCATTACTCTAAAAGAAAAAAGCTAAAATTATTTTTTAGCGAATCACATGCAGTAATTGAATTTCCATATTAAAAAATTCATACACATGGTTTCCTTTTTGCAATTTGTTGAATAACATAATAATTACAAAATTATTCATGATCTTTTCCTGGTGGCATTTTTTTGGAAAATTTATAATAATAAATGCCAAAGTTTGGAGATGAGCGTTGGAGGAGAGCGGGGAGCGGCACCGCCGCTGAGAGCATCTCCCGCCAACGAGACTGCCGAGAGGCGCGGGCCGTCCACGTGGGAGTGGGGCCCACCCGTTTGAATGTGCACGTGACGTTGGCGCCACCCTCTCACGTTCCCCGTTCACCGTTATTGATTGGTTAATTTGCATGTGTTTTTTTTTTTGAACCGGAGGATGATTGCATTTATGACAGTCGTTGCAAAATGTAGAAAATAAGGAAGAAAAATTACAAATAACCCACTACTCTATACTCTGTTGTTTTTTTTTTTCGCTTCGATGGGAATGGAACATTGTTAAGGGAGTAACTAATAAAAAATAATAATAAGATATAATTTTTCTCAGATCCATGAATTATTTACACACTTTGGGGATATTTCTGAGTGCTCAAAAGCGGACAAAGTTGAGGAAATGTAGAAGTGACTTGTATTTTGTTTTGTACTCGTACTTTATAATTACTTTCGTGCAAAGAAACAAGCTCTTAGATGCGCTATAGCACTTCGGTTTCGAACTTAACTTTGCTCGTATTTGAAACATTAGGATGATAAAACCAATAGATCTAAAGTCGACGGCCTTATTTTAATGGAAAGTTTGGAGTCCACCGAGAAGCATACATTTTTGGATTTAATTAGATCCAAATAAAAAAGGAGATTTGTAAGGCTTAGTTTGAAATTAAAAAAACGGTTTTTCTATAGAGTGCACATGGGCACTCTATAAGAGAGGAGAGAGATATAGAGAAATGAATGAGGAGGGGGTCCCCTGATTTGCATTGGGATCATCTTCTCATTCATTTCTTTCTATCTCTCTCCTCCCTTATAGAATGCCCATGGGCACTCTATAAAAAAACCGTTAAAAAAAGGATCGATTGGATGGTCAAGCATTAATCGCTTTGAAACAGAATGGAAAAAAATAGTTAACTTTTCAGCGTGAGTTTTTTGAAATCAGCAATATATTTCGTTTGATAAGTTTAAGAGTTTGTTTGTGTTGGGGAATTTCACTCTCCCCGTCTACTATAATATGCGC